AGAGAGAGAGAGAGAGAGAGAGAGAGAGAGAGAGAGAGAGAGAGAGAGAGAAATCACTCAGCCCCGTGAGGTGTTCACAACTTAGCCTTTCCTGGTGATTTATTTTACCCCATATAACTGGGGTCCTGTGCCCTTGGCTGACTTTGGCACTCACAGTGTATTCCTAACTCAGCCATGTCACCAGCTTGGCACAGCAGGATGGGGCATTTACACCTAGCAAGGAGTGGCCCTCAGCTGGGGCTGCCCTCTTCCTGTGAGTCGTGGTTCTCTCAGTGACACACAGCACCCCCTTGGGCTCAGTGCAGTAAGGACTTGTGGACAGCATCCTATCTAGCTCTGGTGCCACAGAGCCCACAGCACCAGGTGCTGATGGGCCCCCAATGTGTCCTGTTGGCCACAGAAACTAGCTGAGATCATCCCTAAGTCGGCTGTGGGGGAGTTGTCTGAGGACTCCAGCAACGTGGTACAGCTCATCAAGAACGCCTACAACGTGAGTTCCCTAGCTGGGTTGCATGGAGCAGCAGAGGGCGGAAGGCTGGGGGACAGAGGGGACAGAAGCTGCCCCCGGGGTGGGCATGGCCACAGAAGCGCCTAAAGTAGACTTGGCTAAGATGCTCCTAGGATAAAGTGTCTCTCATGTCAGTCCCACATGAACCCCGCAGAGACCCTCTCACACGGTTCTCCTCTGGGGAGTGTGGGCCTTCTATCCACATGGACTCAGGGGCTCAGCAGACACCACTCAGAGCCTGGCCCCAGCAGATTCCAGTGGCTCTGGAATTCTGTTTCCTGGTGAGCTGCATTGAAGGTAATGGGGGACATAGCACATGGTTGCATCCCCCACACATTTCTTTGCTGGGATGACCTCAAGTCTGGGAAGAGGCCCATTTCCTTCTGCCTCCTGTGAGCCACATGCAAAGGTCTCCTATGCCTGTCCCTGTGTCAGTCTCTACACAGACAACACAAGTGACACTGTTGGTGGCTCATCCACCAAATATCACTCACTAACTCTGTCTTCCATAACTCCCTCACTTTGCTTTCTCTCTCTCCTACAGTCTCTGTCTGTCTCTCCATTTCTGCCTCTGGCTCTGTTTCCCTCATCTCTTTAGCCATCTACCCAGTGCCTGTGCATACTCCATCCAGGGCGAAGGACAGTCCTCAGGGGATCCCAGCCACATCCCCGCAACTACTTGTCTGGAGGGCAGGCCTGTGGCATTGGCAACCCCGTCTTTGGCCCTGGCACACTCTGCCCAGCTCCAAGGCTCCCAGTGGTCACTCCATGGGGAGGAATGGGGTAGAGGTGTCCACGCCACAGGCCGGCCAGACAGCATGATGCCCAGCCCTATGTGCTCTGTCCTCTGCTGCAGAAACTCTCCTCCAGAGTGGTGCTGAGCCACAGCACCCTGCCCGACAACCTGAAGGTCACCTACGACTCCTTCTGCACTAATGGAGTGACGCATATAGACCAGCCCACAGGGGACTGCGATGGTGTGCAGATCAGCAAGTCGGTGAGCCTGGGCTCCACAGGGGCCCAGAGAGGCAGGGGGCACCTTCAGCACAGCTGGCCAACCCCCAGGGGTCTCCTAGCAGCATGGGTTCCTCAGAAAAGGACCCGGAAGGGCTGGACATAGTTCCCCTGGGCCTGGTTTCCAGCACAGGGTGCTCAGGTCCCTGCAGGACCACGTGGGTGGAAACAGGGTCTGACTGCGCCCTCTGGGGGCAGCCTTGGACGGTTGGGCAGATCTGCTGGGTTTTCCTCAAATTCTTTTCCTGTACATTTGTTTGAGGAGCTGGGGCTGACACTCAAGGCCTTGGGCCTTCTAAGTAAGTGCTCTGCCACTGCACTGCACCCCCAGCCTTTTATATTTGTCATTCTAAGACAGGGTCTTCTTCTTCTTCTTCTTCTTCTTCTTCTTCTTCTTCTTCTTCTTCTTCTTCTTCTTCTTCTTCTTCTTCTTCTTCTTCTTCTTCTTCTTCTTCT